AAATGAATCTTGAAGTTTCACATCTATTGCTTGGGTTTGTTCTCTTTTAGATCTTGCATGAATCTATTTTTCCTCAAAGGTGAGAGGGTAGGTAACGAGACGCCTGTAGTCCCAAGCATACAGCACTCTTTCCCTGGGGTTATAGTCCACCATGGAGTTGTGACCATACTGGTTTATGAACTGTATGTTGGGATTCCACTGTTTACTTGTCTTAGTGTCATAAGCAAAGTTGATGGTGGTTCTGCCGCTGTAACTGTCAATACAGTAAATCACTCCACAGGCCACAAAAGCATTTCCCATTGAAGTCATTCGTTCTGTGTGGGGGAAATACAAAGTGTTATTTGGCAATGTAACTTTGGTCTAACATGATTTTTTTGCTTTATTTTACTGATTTTATTGTTCAATTTATGTAATCTTATCAATTCTTGTTGCTTTGTGATTATTTGAAAAGTTACAATTATTTTTTTTTTCTCAGTTGAGATGGTGTGCCTTAGGAATAGTTAGTCATTATGTGAAATCTACTCTCTACCCAATCACTTCACCTAGGGCAATCATTACATGATGATGCTATTCAGCTTTCCATGTGCATAGTTTAAGGTTTCATGCTTACCTGTTCTCAAGCTCCAAGTTTGGGTAACTGTGTTTATGACCACGTCTATTTTGGATGCATAAAGACGTCTGCTGTTCCCAGTACTCCCCCACAGTCCCCACAATCCATGCTCATCAACTGCTAAGTCCATTCCAGAATAACCTCCCCAACCATAGTAGTTCTTTCGTGTGTTAAACCCGCTGACACTTATTTGAGCCTCCAATCTCTGTGTGTGAAGATTATACTTAATGATATAGGGGGAGTTGGCTCTGTTATGACAGAAAGAAAAGGATCATGTTTAAAAGAACTTAAGTTGCAATTTGTGCTTGAATCCATTGTGGCTTCAGATGTTTCCATTTCGAATAAGCCCATATCAAATCTCTCTAAATCAAGACAATTTTTTAAACATGTTATTGCAATTCAGATAACTGCAAAATAAGTTAAGAATGTCAAATATAAAAGTTGCTCTAAGTACGAGACAGTGAAATGTTTCACCTGTTGTAGTAGAGGTATGGTCCATACACTACTGCTCCAGTTCCATCAAAGTAGTAAGGCAGATTGTAAGATTTGTGAACTACACCGGCCTTGAACTTTTCCATGTTTTCAAACGCTTGAATCACTCTTCCGTAATAATTTTCCATGGTAAATATGGTCTCGGCACCCATGATTCCTAGCGGGTCTTTCATCCAGTTTCCATAGTATCGATAACGGGTGTTGTGGGTGACAGGTTGTCCAACAGATTTGAGGTTTGTGCACCTGTCTAGGAAAATTTCATTGAACAAAAAAGTTTTTAACCAATTCATCAAAAATTTCTTCCTTTTCTTTGGACTAAACTGATTAAATTTATTCCATTTTAGGTTTGGTTGACATGAGAAACATACATAACTAACTTCTCACCTAGATTGTATAATGAAACAGCCCACTTCAGTGGCAGATCCAGACCTTAAGCTAAGAAGGAGGCCTGTTTTTTTTGTTGGTGTACACTTGCTGGCTTTTCTTCCTTCTGCAGTTATTTTATTACCCAAAATAAGGGGGGGGGGGGGGAGGAAGAGGGCAAAGCACCTACCCTAGTTCTGCAGCTGCACTCTCATCAGGCTAAAACTTGCTAATCTTAAACTAAAGTTTTAGAAGATAACCTTTTTAATTGAATTAAGTTTCTGAGAATTAATCCCGTCAAATTTTTTCACAGCAAAGAAATGTTTATCATTAGCAAACCTTTTTCCAGGATGTAAACACTCTCTTTTGCTTTGTCTAAATCATGCTGCTCATTGAGGATCATCTTGAGCAACTGTAGAAATAAAAATGAGAGCAACATTGACTTAAACTTAAGTAACACTGTTTTCAATTGGTAGTTGGTGGAAATTTTGGAACAAATTTGAATTTATTTTCCATCAAAAGCTAACATAGTAACAACAGAATATTTCCTGATCGTTTTATGTTTGAACACTGATAAAAAGATTTTACATATCTTGAGAAGATCAGGATTAAAAATTTTTGTCATGTACATAAAAAAAAAAGAAATAATTGAAACAAACACTTTCCACAACTAGTAATGGAAATGTTAACTTTTGTTTCAGTCGCACAACGATTTTGTGGTCAGTGCTGACCTTGAGCTTTAGATTTAAATGAATTATTTCAAATTACTTACGTGCTTCTTTGCCAATTCAAGAGCAAGGTCTTTCACTGAGAGTTTATGCGAGTGGCGGCCATAGCTTGAATGTAAGCCTCTTTCAAACCTACGGCTAACTGATGAATTGCAATGGACATGACCCTGAAACGAGGAACCAGTACTCAAATTTAATACAAGGGACCACAGACACATAGATCTATAATCTGAACTTCACAGTGAATTGGTTCTTAAAGGAATGGTGTCCACTCACTTAAATTTCACCCTGAAAATTCAAACTGAAGTTTATTTTGTATGGGAATATTTTCTGATGTAATACCAGATAAATTCTAGAAGACAGAAGTGAGGAATAAAAGGTAACCTCTCACTTGTTGCCTAGATTTTTTAAAAGTATTAGAACTGTGAGGACGAAGTGGTTTGGGTGAATTTTGTGTTTGAACTATTTCTTAAAAACCATTGAAACAGTTTGACTTAATGCGACTGTTTGAAGAAGTACCTCAATCAAAAGATCACGAAAATGCTCGCTTGGTTAGGTATTGTGTATTAACTTTGCCAAAAACATCACATAAGAGGAAACTTACCAAGAGCAGAACCAGCTGGAGACAGAATGAAGAGAGATATCGAAACATCTTGTCTGGAGAAAAATGTCTTCGCTTTGAACCTGAAAGAATTAACGAAGACTTAATTACTACTTGGAAGTAAAATTGCAATATAACATTATCAAACCCTCACCAAGTACTTGTCGTCTCTCCGATAGGTGCTTAAAAAGAGATTTTACACTCGGAAAGCCAGGATGAGAAAAATGAACTTCGTCGGAAAGAGGCACGCATTATAATGTTCCCCAATTTTAGCTTCGGGCATTGAGTTACTGAACGAAAATTTTCGTGTTGGATTGAATAGAAAGTATGGATCATTTGTATGATCCAGAGTATGCACTAAATCGCCACAAAATCCTTAGTAAAAAAAATGAACATTTTGGGGTTAGCATGTTGGTGCCTGCCTTAAAAGAAAAAGTAGTGACTAGAAGAAATTTGACAAATTTTCTATCCTGATGTTTAAGCCACGTAGCGTAATAGTTTGTTACACAAGAAAATAAATCGTATCATGTTTGCGATACATGTTTGGCCCTCATGTTTATTTGCATAAAAAAATTAGTTTCTACGTGTACACGACGTGGAATTTTGCCTTTGAATTTATAATCCAAAAACGCGACTTTTAATAATGAAGAAAACCCCACATTGACGTTTCAACGCGATGAATAAAACTGATATGACAAAAAACACGGTATTAATAACTAATAGTAATAATTCATATTAATTAACCAGTTTACTTCTCGATCATCGATGCCAGTGGACAGCAAAATGTCCTTTTTCACTTCATTTCATCGCAAAATTCCGAGCTCCAAAATCCCGCTCGCTCGCGAAAGCCTGTCCACGAATCATCATATAGGCCATACTAGAAAGAATTGGTCGTTTTTGTATCATGCATGGTCTTCTAAGCGCAGCTCCTCGTTGAAGGATTGAAGTGTGACCAAGTGTGTCTCCGCATTGGGTAGCACTTTTCCGTAGTTTCCATTGCAAGTTTACTGACGTGTCGGCAAATGTACTGTCAGTAACTGAGAAAAGTAGAGAAATGCTCTTTTCCCTTACTACGTACTATAATCCAAAGGTTGAAGTGTTGGTTTCCAGTTGGCTTACGCCTAAGGGTGGCATGATGTTTCTGGAAGTAGATAGTTCTTACATACGGAAAATAAGCGTCACGAATGATTCACTCCACACTCAGGCAGAAGTTGGTTTAATTACTAATATTCCATAGTAGCCACAGCTCCTGTCGTTGTGGTTGTTTTGTTTTTAGAACTTCGCGATTCATTTTCCTTCATTTTTTTAGGTGAATGAAATCCTCTACCTCTATCGTGTGACTCGGCCCCTTGAAGGTGTTCTTTGTTAATCAGCTCACTGTCGTGCGCAATCGTTCCTTTACTAAACATAAAATATAACCTGCGGGTTTCTCGACCATTCTTAGTGCTGCTCAGAAGCGCGCGAAGACTTGTATGTAAAACAATTCAAACATCGATTAATGAGTGCCACTGACGCTGAAAACTAACTGTGAGCTATTGAGTTAAACCATAGTTATGGTTAAACTTGATTTATGTCCAGCCTGTGGTTGGGAGTTATGTTCCTTCTCCTTTAGAAGTATAAGTAGCCTGAATTTGTCCCTTCTGTGCAGTCAATGTTTGGGGTATCTTGTTGGATGTCAGGAATCACGAGGGATACATTAATCTTAACAGCAGATAGTATTGAATGTCACTGACGAATTTTGTACTGTGCATCACTTTCAGTATTAAGATGGGCTCGCTTGCTGGCCACCTCTTACCCGGCTCGTTGTTTTTAACAATTTCCATGTGGCGGGTTGTCGGCGATACTCTGCGAGGAGTCAAAGAAGTAAGCTTACCCAAGCACGCCGAATGTCTGGTCGCTCTTCCACTTTTAACGAATCCAATGCTTCCTTTGATAATCGTGTGTGGTACGTGTGCCCGGGTGCGACGCTGTCACGTCTCCCGGTTGAGCCCCTTGTAAAAGTGTATTTTACATTGCTGGGTGTGATAGTGGAGGTCTACGCTTTTGCGACCCTGTTCGACCACGATGGCAATTTCGTTCAACAGAACTTAGATAATTACGTGCATTCAGCCGTGTACAGGTTTTGGCTTAAGTGGTGCCGTAGATCTAGTTATCTGGTATAACCTTTTACCACTTCCTCTGAAATATGACTACTTTGTGTTCTCCTTGGCCTTCTTCTTTTTCTTCCATCTTCGTGGATGCGATCATGGGGGAGCTAAACGTACGCTTGCACATTATTCTTTACACCCTAGTGTTCGTCAGTGCTTTTGTTTTCTTCATAGCAGGGATTTGTGACCAGTTCCTTCACTTTGTGGCTTTTTTGAAGTGTTATCTAGTGAGCTTACACTAAAGTTGGTTTTTCCAAGCTGGCTTCGTCCTCTTTGGACCAAATCCTTATAAAAACTCTCCAAGTAATGTAGAGTTTTTGGGAGTTGCATTTGCATTTCACGCGCTGTTTTGGTTCATTATTCATCTGACCTTTCGCATCCTTTGCTACAAGTGCTGCATTGAGAAAAAGCGGCTGAGAGAACCTATCTACGAGGAAACTCCAGGCGAGGAATATGACTGAGACAAATTGAGCTTAGAAGAAATTTAGAGGAAAGAATTGGGCGTTTTCAACTTGTTGACTCGAGCGTATGGTGTATCATTGCCGACTGAAAATGCGTCAGTTGAAATCCTCCTCGGAACCTATTTCAAACTGATCATCTCACATGCCCCTGGCAATCAAATCGAATCAATTACAAATGTTGACATTTGCATTTTGGTTAAAAAAGGATAGTGCCACGCTATAATCGTTATCATGCCGTGAAATTACTGCTAATAGTCTAATGCAGGACATTAACAAGTCAATCAATCGTCCAAGGAATATTTAACAATTGTCACCGAGTTGGAAGTGGCTACCTAACCACCAACGGTGAGGTAAATAACCATAGCAGAGAGATGATTCTAACTCATTTATTGCTGCAGCGATCACAATATTTTCAGGTGCAAACCCTGCACGTGTCGCCCGGGGGTGTCTAGCAAAGGTACTCGGAGTTTGAGTAGGCAATCAGAGAGCGCCTTCAGTGCTGTTTTAGTGTATATTCATATATACTGATTATATCCGAACGCGGCAATCAGAACATGAAAATCACTATTCTTCTGTGTCGTATATACTTAATTTTGTAATATCCAAATGTTTGATGTAATTATGGTTTAAAGAGGAGATAGTTCGACGAAAAAATGTCTAATTAAGGATGTAAGGGTACCTAGGTAATTATAAATTCAAAGAACGAATAAAATTGCTAAGAACTTTGTAAGTCTATCATTGCCCCTGAAAACCCTGGGACTGGCTCGACAACTTTTTATCCCATGTTACTGAGGCCTCGTATACACGGTATCTGGAGGCTTTGCCCCATTGTAAGTTCGCCTCATCAAATACGACATGTTTGCCCCCCGGCTACTTCTACCAGTTTACCGCCAAACCTTTAACTCGTTCCACACAATGAAATTACTTTCACACGAAGCGTAGCCGAGTGGATCAGGAATATTCTCGCATTCTCGCCACATTTTGACTTTATCTGTGATCTATAATTAACGAGACACACGGCAATTGAAAATTATAAAGAAGCAACATTTTGTTAACGGTGACGTCATCTATGTGTCTGTCTTCCACTAGATGATAAGTAAGAACCAATCGAAATTCGAGTATCATTCACGCGTAATGTACCTCGAGGTGGGGATGAAAGGGACTGGGAAAAGTGCGCGAATTTAAGAATGGTTGGAGCGGCGCTGGGGAGAAGATTGTTAGAAATATGGCGGCGAAAACTTCGTTGGAACAAGAAGGTACTTTATACGAGTTGGAGAGACTACAAGAAAGAGCTGAGAGGTACAGATAACTAAACCAAGTAGAAATAGAATATATATGTAGACATAAAACAACTCTATCCTGATAATTGTGATAAATTTCTTGATGATGGAGCCCCTGTGTTTAATTCTCGATCTGTTGTTGTGTTGTACACATCTGTTTATGTTTATTTAAATCGATACTTCTGCAGGCGAAGTGCTAAGTATGAAGCTGACAAGAGAGAAAAAGCTGAACTTAGGGATTTGCAAAGTAAAGGTTGGTGATATCTGTACACAGGAACTTAATTTAGACGCTTCAGTGCAGTGTATATGCACGCCAACAATTGCAACAAGAACCACAGTACTGATATACAATTATTCAATTTATCTCGAAAACTTTTCAGTTGAGCAGCTAAGGGCAAGGAGAGATGAACTCCGTGAGAGGCTAAAGAATGGTCCTCATGAAATTCTACAAGAGTTTTCAAAGCTAGGTAAGGGTGACATTCCAGAAATCCTAAATTTTAAGCTGACTTGTGGAAAAGTAAAACTAAAGGGAAGGGTGTCTGGTCAATTCGCTACAGCAAGAAACTCGCCACTGCAACAAACTCGCCACCACAAAACACAGGTTTTGCTGTTGGCAAAGTGATCATAATTTTCGTGATATCAACATGTTTAATTTGTTTTCTGTTCAATAATTTGAGATGCTAGACATAACTTCTGAGTCCCTTTCCCTTTTTGTAGTATACTACTACATCTAAGCTTTCATTTGATGTAAGTTTCACACAAGAGGCTACACATGAATTATGGTCTTTTCATCTGAGTCTTTTCGTCCAAAAGTCTCTTCATCCAAGTCTTTTCGTCCAAAAGTATTTTCTCTTAAGTCTGTTCGTTTACTTGTTAAGTCTTTTCTTGAAGCAAATAAATAACTTTAGAAGGCTAGATAAGGCTATATAAAGAACTTGTTGCGAGCTGCCGCCATTTGGGTATGTCAGACACGTGGTGATGTTACACTTCGTTGCCTTTTACGCTCAATAGACGCTTAACAACAAGCTTAATATTCCCATTTCTTTTGTGTGAAATAAATAAACAGCAAGTAAGTCTATATTTTTGCCACTATTTAATAAAATATATTGCGTTACAACTTTATTAATTCTCTGTGTATTAAATTCATGACGCTGGATTCTTAAATGAAGATTGGTGAACCAATTGGGCAACGGCTCGCACTGATAAGTTCTTTATTAGCCTTATCTATAACATAATATAACAGTTATTTATTTGCTTGGCGGAAAGACTTAGAGCCTTAAGATCAAAATACTTTTGGACTAAAAGACTTGACGAATAGACTTTCGGACAAAAAGACTTGGATGAAAAGACTCTTGGATGAAAAGACCGGACACCCTACACATAATGTTTGAGTCAAATTGCCATTGGTAGCAATTTGACCCTGAGTGGTGGCAAGTTTGTTGTGGTGGTGAATTGACCATAAACCATGGCAAGAAGCTAATTGTTTTGACCAAAGCATATTGATATGTTGCTTGTGGAAGACCCAGTGGCCCAAGTTAACAAACATGGTAGTTAACAAAAGTTTTTATTGCCAGTAACTCTATGTTGTAAGACATCCAAAATAAATTATTTTGTTATGAAACTCAGGGAGATCTCGCGCATGTACTTTGTGGAATTGTCATAAATTTTTTAACGAAGTATTTTATATATTTATTTATCCACAGATGAGTCCTCCAGGAGAGATTATTCAGCTGCCTTAAAACAGGTATTTTCAACTGGTGATAGAAATTTTACTTCAATTACCTCCAAGGAATGCTATATGCAAGAACTTCAAAGAGCATGATATATTTCAACCATGATCAATCCAAAGCTAGATTTGTATGACAAGCCTTGTGGGCATTACCAAGGGGACCTTGTCAAATGGCCTTCTTATTTGCACTTCAATTAGTTCATGTAGTGTTAATTGTTTGTGTGTGTCTTTCAATAGTGTAATACAGTAATAATACTGATCTGTAACTTAACATCTAACCCTTTCACTCCCGAGATCTTAATGGTAATTGCCCTTACTGTCTGCCAGACAATTAGTAAATAAACCCCTTTGGGCGGCTGGTATGTCGGCTGATAATGTCCATGGCTGAGAGATTGTCCGAAAAACGAATATTTGGCTGAGAAGCAAAGCTTCAAGGGCAAATATGAAAATTTGAGGACAGTCTCTCAGCCAAGGACATTATCAGCCAACATACCAGCAAGCCAGAACAGGGTTTATTTATAGTATGACCCTCCCATTAATTTTCACATCACAATTAAACTGTCTGTAAACACAGTAAAAAAGCCCGTGGCTTTTTTACTTTTTTACTTTTTTACTTTTTTTGCTTGCAAGCAAGCAAAAAAAAAAGAGTTTGGTTTCCTTCCATGTAAATAGGAGAACAGAAAAGTTGAAACTCTTGTGTTGACTATGTTTCTTTTTCACTGAAAAAATCGAAGAACAAATATCGACACGGACAGGGATTATTGCATGATAACTGTCCTCTGATTTTGCGTCATATGAGTTAAAGTAACCAATAAAATTGCGCCAAAATTAATGGGTGGGTTCTAATTCTTGATATTAGTTCACAGAGAATTTGGTATTGGATTGACTAATCATACCCTAATTGATAATTTTCTTTATTCTCATCACTTGTCTGCTAAAATATTGTTTTGATATTGTAAGGAGAAACTCTCTCTTGGTCAATCATGGGAATTAGAAGGCTCACACCACACATTGATACTGCTTACCTCTTTTAATGTATACCTCAAGAAACACACTGAAGTATTTTTCAGGAGGTGAAGGGATTACATTAAATACTCTAGACATAAGACATGATTATGAAAGTATGATCTAAATATATATATAATTATATCTTATTAACCAAGCGCGAGGGCCGTACTGGAAGAATATCGACCCGAGGTATTGACAGTACAGACCAAGCACAGCGAGGTCTGTACATATGTTAATTGCCACTCCCCATGGGGGCTTTTCAGGGACAATTCCCACCCAGCAACCACCCCAGGGAAGGACATCCATCACACAGTAATCTCGTGCATGGGAAATTAATGTCTCCTACCCCTAACCCTGCAGGAGATCGGACCTCCATTTATTCTTCCCTATCCGAGAAGACTAGAGTATCTAACCATTTCTTAATAGAAAGGTAGCATATTCTTCTCACTTGTTTTAAGAGAGTTGGTACGGCCGGGGCTCAAACCCTCGACCTCCCGCACAACAGTCCAGCGCTCTATCCATTGAGCTAACTGGGAGGCGGTACAAAAAAGACCAAGGGTCAATATTCTTCCAGTACGGTCCCGAGCAAGCTTGGTTAATAATAGATTTATTATACGACTGAAGTTCAAAGGGACACAAGGGTGGTATCATTCGGGACCATTCAGGACAGTGCCCAGTCTAATACTGAGAGAATATTGACTGGCAATAGAGTGTTTTGATTGGTTGATTTTAGTTATTGGCCCTCTGACTGCCTGAGTCGTGTAATAATGTAAAATATGAACTATTTCGCTTTGAAATGTTCCTTTATCAGCCACTGCTAAATCTCATGGGAAATATTGGTTTACTGGCTAAGAACAAGACAAAATCAAGCACTTTATCTACAAAGTTGCATAGGAAAATGAAAAGGATGCTTGGATGGAATACTCTCAGAAAAAGAAAAGAATGGTTTTGGTGGATTTGGTTGTTTATTAGACATAATCTGTGAATACAATTTTTTGTCATTAGTTCAATTTTACATCTAATGATAAAAGTAAGTGAAAGAAGTTTTACACTACGTTCCGATGATGTTTTCAAGTGAAAAGAGAATAAAATTTTGACAACTTCATACATACCATGCAAGGCGACAAAATGTAAAGTATGCATGTAAAAAGTGACAAATTTAAATAAATATTAAATAACATCAGAAATAGTGAAGCTACACAAGGGAAAAGCCTTTTTAGAACTGATGTTTTAAGTTTCTTTTTTTAATCGTATTGTAGACCTGTAGAATTGCCTTCCACTACACATTAGAATGATTGAATCTTTCTCATCATTTAAGAACCTTATTAATAAATTTTATAATAACAAATATAATAGAAATAAGGATAGATTTTTATAATTAATTAATAATTATTGTCATGTTAAATGTTAATTATACTATTTGAGCTACTGTGCAATATATTAAACGTGACATTTTTTTTACTTTTGATTGAGCCAGTTTATTTTTATAAGGAATCTTCGAATTCTGTATAAACTGACCTAATTACTCAGATCTTGTGAATTTTTTTTCTTTTTTTATTAGTTTTTAATTTATCTTTAATTTGTATATTATGTTAGGATCTGTATAATTAAACTTGAGTAAATAAATAGATAAATAGTTTTGCGCATATGGAGTCTGATTATGTGTTCAAGCATGGCCTTTTCTTCTTCATGAATAACATTACATAAATCAGACAGTCCAGTTTTCCATTACACTTCTTTAAGATGGAAAAGTTGTTGGTAAGGTCGCTGATGGTTTCCAGAGCGTGGTCATTCTTTAAGTGCTTGCCGATTGCTGAATAACAGTGTTTGTCAATACGTTGGTGTAAATGTCGGCTGGTGTAGCCGACATACTCTGCATCACACAGATCACATTTATAACTGCACACAACTCATTGTCGGCTAATTATGGGTGGTTTTGGCTCGCACATCTTGAGGTCTTTACATATTTTGCGACTCTTGAACACAGGTTGAAGAGTGTGATCGATTTTGGTGCTCAGATCTGATAATTGTTTTTTCACTGCATCAGCTGACTTTGTTCAATTTTACTTTAATAATTAGAATGTCCTGACAGCTGCAAGATTGTTCCGTAAAAGAAAGGTAAGAAAATGAGAAAAGATTAAGTTTAATCATAACTCGGGTGAATCTTGAGAACTGATACAGGTTTTCTCACTGGTCAAGAATAACATCTGTTGCCAAAAGCACCCCATGCAAGGTGAGTACATTACTAAAGATCTGAAGTATTTTTAAAATGACCACCTTATGATTTGTTATGTTTTTAAAGGAGGGAATTAAAGAAGATGTAGTTGCTTGGAAATTCTTGAAAGAAATTATACCAAAGAAATATTCCCCTTAGGCTTAGAAAGTTATTATACATGTTGTACAGGATCCTTTGTCAATATTTACTCTGCGTTTGGTACATAACTACTAAAAAAATGAATCAAACCTCCTGTATGGCGCTACCTGAAATGCAAACACCCTGTGGCTGACTATGGGAAGGATTTGTTAAGAGAGGAAAGACTCTCTCTCAGAATTTCTATGAATGGTTTCTGAACTTTGAAACATTTCATTATCAGCTGATTCACATCTGTGAGATGTATACATTGTATGTGGAAAGGTAATACCCTGAATTCTCATTGATGGTTTTGAACTATGGATATTTCTATTTCAGCTGGCTGATCTTTGTGATATATACAGATTGATGGGTATTTCAGTAGTATCACAACAAGCTAAGAGAACTTGCTTCAGATGTGAGACCTTTTTTAATGGTAAGTCAACTTAATGTCAGTGTTGTTCAGCTGAAATATAAAGTGCCAGACAGTGGGATTGCTATGACTGACTGATTCTCTTTCTAGCTGATCTGATCACAGACTGACTCACTGATTGATTGATGGCCTGAATCACCTCTTGTCTGACTTATCAGTTCTGCTCCTTAACAGACTGCTTGCCTGACTCACTCAATAGGTGTCTGTAACTGTCTGTCTTTCTGAAATGGACTGCCCAACTGTCTCACACACTCCCCCTTGCTGTTTCACTGACTCAATAAAACAGGCTGAATGACCTATTGGCTGACAAGCCAATTCGCTGAATTACTGAATGATTGACTCGGTGGTTCACTACTTACTGACTGATTGAAGCACTGATTTACTCACTGGTTAATTACAAAATAAGTAAGTCTCTGACTGACTCACAGGCCTACCAGTGCACAGATTAATTTATGAATTTATTTATGTGACACTTGCCCAAATAATCTCGAATTCAATGGATGAGCAAGGTCAAGTCCAGAGATTTGTGTTGTCATTGGTTAAATGTTAAACTTGTGCTATATATCAACCCTCAGCTAGATACTATGAACCATATTACCTTGAAGTGGAGTTGAAAGACAATAATTTAAAGGTGGGTTAAGAAGTACAAAACAATTTCTAGGAGTTAAGTTTTATTTGCATGACCTTCTCTCTGTCATTCACACCACATGAGTATGTCATAATGTGATGTCTTTTTACTGGAGGTTCCATACAGTACATTATATTGTCTCAGAGAACTAACAACTCGTGTTCAATACCTGCTCCTTTGCTCTGCTAAAACCAAACATTACCTCTATTTTATCTGCCTTACTGTAAACCTGATGCGTGGTGTGGTGACCTCATGGTTAGTGTGTTCAACTCTGGAGCTAGTGGTCCAAGTTTGAGCACTGGCCGGTGGCATTGTGTTGTGTTCTTACATGAGACACTTTACTCTTACGGTGCCTCTCCACCCAAGGGTTTAAATAGATACCAGCAAATTTGATATTGGGGGGTAACCCTGCTACGGACCAGCGTCGCATCCAGGAGGAACTTTTTTTCACTTTACTGTAAACCTAGAGTTGCAGGGTGTTTTTACCCTGTGTTTGAAATTTCCCTTAATTTGGTCAATGCTGTCTAGATTGTGTTCATCAGTATTCATTTGATAAAAAGGACTAGTGCATTTCCTTCTTTAGTTTGTCTATTGACGGTTGTTGGTTTGTTTGATGATGCCTTTTAGATTCACAAGCACACTGTACCTTATTTCATACCTGTTGATGCAATTAGTCAGCAGTACTTAAACACTGACATCAAGGTACATTGTATCTTTACTTAATAAGTCAATGTTTTTCCCCAAAAAACCTCTGTCAGCACATTGTCTAGATAGTTATTGTCAAAAGATTTTGAAAAAAAAAAAAAAAACTGTTAGGAAGGTGATCAAGAACTTGTAATGTAAAAACAAGAACAAAGACAATTGTGAAATAACTTTTGTTGTGTTGCATCACTATGTGACCTGGTGACACTCCTTGTCGATAATCTTGTTTGCAATTAATAGTCATTGTATAATTTTATGGTTAAGAGCAGAGCATTTAGAGCTGTTTGAAGGATCTTGATATAAGTTTATTTTTGGTGTTTGGTCTGACCAGTTACAGTGGGACATTTTGTTAAAATAAGCTCTCAAGGTGTTTGCAAAGTGAAATTTTTGCTCTTCATTATCATTTAGTAAAATTTGGTTTGCATAGCAAATTGCTTTTAAGGAAAGGTAAAAATGAAGGATTACAATCATGATAACTGCCTTTATCTCTGTATTTTAGTTCTAGAGTTCCTCTCTCCTTTTTAATAAGGGGTATTGTTACGTCTTGATGTTCTTGTATTGAATGCAAGTAGATTGGCAAGAGCTAGGTTTGCTGCTAAACAATAGCTTTATAGGCATCCTGGGACAGGTTTTATCTACTTTGGTTTTATTGGTTCTTCAAATTATTTCCCTGCTTCTACTTAAAAACATTTATAATAATTTTGAATTTTCTCCAGTATAATGTTTATGTTACCTTTCCACATCATCTCAGAGGTTTCTCATGATCATATGTGAGCAGCTGAATGCTTTTGTGGTGAGAAGGGAGCAGGTGAGCAACCATTTTGACTCCCTGGATTTTATGTTATTTTCCCCAGTACACCCTAACACCAGTATACATATTCTTCATACTGTTCTCTGTAGATTCCTCAAGTTTGCCGAGAAGGGGAATTTGTTAATAAGAACTTCTGTAGTTGTTGATCATTTCCTGAATTCTTGTGACCTTAATGTATGATTTAGGGGGGTTGTTGTGAGGAGAAATTAAAAGTTGGTCACTCTTAGGGGGTCCAAGGGTTAATAATAAAAATCACAAAGTGTTTTCAAATTTAAAGTGAATGTAGCATTACATGTTGTCCTTCAGTAGCATCTTGAATGAGTTGATATTTTTATAAGTGAGGCCTTCATCTGATGTTTTAGGTTTGCCTTTGTCAAGAGCAGCATGGAGATAAACTGGAAGGAGAAATATCTTGCAGCCCCTCACATGATTTTGTGCAGCTGAAATTAAAAGTAGGCATGTTATGGCCAAAGAGTAGCAAAGGGTGTGAGAGTGTTGAAATTTATCCAGGATTGCATTTCTCTAAGCTTATCTATGCTCTTTGGTTGGTCCAGAAAAATTGTGCCATCCTGTTGACCAATTAGATTCAATCTTAAACCAATTGTGACTTTGTCACTTGTATTATTATCATGCTTCATATAGTTTGCCTGTTTTTTTCTTGGAGTTTCCACTGGCTTCTTGTGATACTTTCCTTTACTTTTGACCGGCTGTTGTGATTACTTTCGAATTGGTTTTGGTCTTATCACACTTGTTCTAAAAGTGCTTTATGAATCTCTGTAATAATGTGATCATTACCTGTTTAATTATCATAAATGTTTTCCATAAAGCAATCTTTTATACTTCAATTGCCAGGCTGCAGAGGGTCAAGCTAATGGCACTGTTATAAAACTAACATATAAGGGGCTCACATCAATGCGACCATCCCATGTTGATATAGTCACTGAAGGTAAGTGAAGTGAATGTATACCTGCACTATGTGAACCCAAAGGGAAAATAAGAGGATGTTGATCCTTTAAAAAGGAAGCCGTGATTTTGCTGTGGCAACCTTAAATGTTAGAAAATGGTAACAACTTGTTGATAAATAAAGGGGTATTTTGTTATTCTATTTTTAAGGAAACAGAAGAAACACAATTGGTGTAAAAAAAAATAGCATTGTTTTAGTTCTACTGATACTAAGTTCTTTAATCTAAGAGCAAACAGTTTTAGATTGGTGAAGAAATTAAAAAACAGTAGCCGCTTGCTCTGACGTCAAGTGTGCATTTCAGACTATTGGAAAAGAATGTTGTAGCAGAGTACAGTGGAATTAGTTACTTATTGCATTACTTTTCTCATGTTTACTGAAATAATTAAAACACAAAATTGAAAGATTAATTGTCCAGGCATTGCTATTAGTTATGTGGCAATGTTCAAACTTTCCTAAAATGAAATAGTGTTGAACTAACACACAGGGACAACAAGTGTTCTTTGGCAAGAAAATGGGTACTAAGAGGTGAATATTACATGACTCGGGCAGTCAGAGGGCCAATAACTAAATCAACCAATCAAAATGCTCTATTGCCGGTCAATATTCTCTCAGTATTGGACCGGGCACTGTCCCGAATGGTCCCGAATGATACCGCACTTGTGTCCCTTTGAGCTTCAGTCGTATAATAAATCTCTTATTAACCAAGCTTGCTCCGGACCATACTGGAAGAATATTGGCCCTCATTCTTTTTTGTACTGTCAAGACCTCGGGCCGATATTCTCCGAGTACCGCCCTCGCACTTGGTTAATAAGGTATACATAAAGATGTCTCTTTGTTTTTACTCCAATGAGTGACCAAGAAGGAATTTCACCTAACATTATCAATAAAATTTCAAACTGACAAGTGATAAGAATAAAGAAAAATATCATTCAGGATTATTAGCTGATCCAAAACCAAACTCTCTGAGCTAACATCACAGTAAGAATTTTATGGCAGATGGTAACAAGGGTAAATGTAAAGAATCTGATCCTGCCAATGTGTTGGCCAACGTGTTGGTAGGATCAGATTCTTTACCTTTACTGTAACAAGACTATCAATGACATCTAAGGAGTGAAAGGGTTAATGACAGTTTTACTGAGAATTCTATGGACTGCCGGTCAGGCGTGAATGGTCTTTTGATTTAAGTTTTTTTCTCTGTTTTTCAAATTGTTTCCTTCAGAGAAAAGTGCCTCAGCATTGAGAAGACTTCAAGGAAAGAGAAAGTTATTTGAAGATCTCTACCTCCATCAAGCCTTTGCAGAAGCTTTTAATGAAGAGTTTGAAGCTTGAATAAATTATTTTGATATTATAGGTTCTGGTATTTTGTAGGCCTAAGAGAATTTCTACTTGGCTAATTCAAGAGCAATTGCTTAACCTATTTCATACCTCTGCCTTTTTAAAGTGTTCCCAGAGCAATGAGGAGACTTTAATAGCATTGTGTCCAATTAAAAAGTTTCATACACTTTCTTTTCCCTTGGGTTTGGACAGGTACACCAACCTGAAGAAACATTTTGCCCACTATATCCTTAAAATTAATAAAATTATGCTGGTGTATTTATGGGTAAACAAACAAAAATGCGATCCTTTCCCTCAGAGCGACTCATCTCCCAGTTCAAACACGTTGCTGGTCTCGAGCATCAGATGTGGGACAAACCGCTTCCCCTCTTTGCAGAAAATGAAATTTCCGTCCCTTGCCCTTTAGTCCATTCCACACTCTCCTTCAGTAAACGAATAATTTGTCACGCAACCTTCCCAGGGGTGCTGCTTGCAGAACAGAGCGGTCCAAGTATTTCTCGAGGAACAATTTTCGCTGACTTTCTACGTGGATATCTCGCTCGAATTATCAGGTAATTCTTGCTTTCCTCTTGCATATGGCTAAGCCTCCGGATATAAACTATATTTTAGGCTCCCGGCGCGCCCCCATATATTCTGCTGTGTCATGAGAAAGATTGCATTCACACCCACACTGAACATTAGAGAGGTTTTTCAACCGAACTGCTCGAAAGCATTTAAAAAACCCAATCGTTTCATAAGCAGAATTTGACTTGAGAGGGCGAAGTTCCGAAGATTCCTAAGAATACAACAAAAGCGGTTTTGTCGCAATTTCCTCGCGATTGAATGCAAAAGAGTCCGCGAAACAAACTTTGAGAAGTGTTTGACTTGTAACAGCGACCCGGTAACAACTTCGATTTTGACCTTTCGTAAATCATTATTTACTGTGGAACGTACAAAAAGTGAAATGAAAATGGGACAGACAGAGAGCTGCATTGCAGTCAGCAAATTTTTTGGAGATGCTTTCATGGGAAGATTAGGTTGCAACACACAGTATTAGAACTTCATGAGATTTGTATTGCGAGATTTCAGCGTTTCATTGGTGCAAATTAGAGTGGGGCTTGAGTGAACAAGTGGTGAACGAAAGCGACCAGGGTGCTTGTTTTGAAAACACATCTTGTTCATTATCTTGTTCACATTTATCCAATTTACATTTCATTGAAATTCAAGCAGGCTGAAAACCCTCTTAACTTGGGCAATGTTACAGTTAGCCCCCACACTTGATTTACATTGTTTCTGCGGTAAGAAAAAAAAGGTTCAGCACCAACACTCCACACTTTTAAATCTTTATCGCTACGCTAAGAGAGTTTATGATGTTGTTTTGTACAGTTACCAGTGGTAATAAAAATATGCCGGTTATTGTTTTGAGTGAAAAAACAAAGCCGTCAGGAAAACTAATTAAATTAGTGAGGGCACTTTTGAACACATTCACTCTCTGCCAAGAGAATAGTAACTAAATGGTTACGGCACCGCATGCTGAGCGCAACTTAGCAACGAATTTGAAGCATCTTTTGAAGCATCTTATTCATCAGGGTTAAAGCTATGGAAAAATGTTTGTTTGGTTATCGTTATGTTTGTAGACTGCTCTTTGAAAAAGCCTCAAATTAAAAATGTATTTGCATAAGAAGTGCTAGTGAGTAGTGGATTTCAACAAACTCTTGAAAAAGTGGGTTTTTTTTAAGCTCTAGAAGAGTACAAAGGCTATACTTGGAAATTAATGTCCTATAGTTGATGACAATGGTTATGTTACCAATCACAAAATCTCTCTTTGTTTGTAGCTAGATTGTGCTGTAAAGCTTTTCTCTACTTTTATTAATTTTACAGTGGGTAAATAACGATTATTTCACCACTCTTCTGGGACAATTTTTAATAAATCGGTGTGAATGTGCTGATGCAGAAAGCCATGACTTAAGTAACAAGCAAATGACTGAGTGGGAATGTTTTGAATATAATTAGTTCAAGGGGCGAATGAAATAAACCACTTTGTGATATTTGAAGCAAAATTGAGTTCTCCCTGTTTCGAGGATTCATTTAACTGCTCACTTTTTTATCACACTCAGGCACAATGGTTGCAGTATTACTGGTGCTTACAAACCATGAAGACATGGGTAACACTGGGAAAAAGACTGGCTGGTATCTGCCAGAATTGGCTCACCCGTACCATGTGTTCAAGACTGCAGGATACAGCATGACAATGGTCAGACCAAAGGGAGGAAAGGCACCCTTGGTAAGTTTTTATAAAGACCTTACTGTTTCACAGAGCTCCCCTGAAGTGCAGATGTCTTGAGTGGGTGGTTTAACTAGTTACAATGAGTTTTCTATGTTATTTAAGTATCATCTTTGGTTCCTTGTAGATTTTTATTGCCCAAACAAGTGAAGAAAACTAGAATGGAAAGGGGAGTGATTAAGTGAGGGTGGTGGGGTTTCAAGGTAGTAAAGGGTAGGAAGGGGGAGAGGGGTAAAGCATTCTTCCCACCTCAGCATCTCTTTGTCTCTTAATCATTCCTAATTGCACTATTTATGCTTTGTATTTCCTTCCTAACCAAACAACATAGCTCATCTCTGGTCAGGAACATGTCTTGCATATACTATAAAACTGAGATATGGTATAGACACAAAAGTATATAGATATGTGTTAAAGCTGAGCTGGAATTAGGCATAGAAAACAGACAAGTATAGCATGATGACCCATCATTAGATATTTGAAAGAGTTTGACAGGTAGTCTATAAACCTCTTTCAGCAGGCCTTCAGGTTATTCAGAAAAATTCAAACTTAGTTTATACTGCTCAGTCATTGCATAAAATTAATTTATTGTTTCTTATTATAGAATGTGCCAAGGTAACACTGCAGTGTTTGAGTATTAGGATAATGAAAAGTGTATTTATTATTATAGGGATTCAGATTCATTACTATGCATAACTAAAGCTCTTGACTAAATTGTTTACACTTGCTGGTTCTTGTCTTATTTCTTAGGACAAGAGCAGTGTTGATGCATTTGCAGAGGACCCCATCTGCAAAGAATTCCTTAAGAGTGACGCAATGAAAGCCACTGAAACCACTTCTACCATTGCCTCTGTTGATCTAGCCAAGTTTGATGTTATCTTCTATGTTGGTGGTCATGGACCAATGTTTGATCTAGCAGACTGTGAAGTCAGTAACAAAGCTGTGGCCACAGTTTATGAGAATGGAGGGATTGTTGCTGCAGTTTGCCATGGCCCTGCTGGTATGCGACAAAATGATTTCCCCAAAAACCGTTTTTTAATTACCTTGTTACGTTAAAAAGGATCTAAATGTAAAAGATTGCTCTCCACAAATGTCAGTCTCGGTGTGGTGTCGAACCACATAATTAGCCATTGTAGTAAATGTAAATCGCATGTGAGTGTGAAAGTAAAGCAAGTGAAATCCATGACCATGAAGCTATGTTAATGTCTTAATAATTAGTTGATATTTGTAGGGGCATTGGAATTGTTTATCTCAGAAAAAAAGTCATTTTATTCTATTCCTTTTCAGGTATTGTTAATGCCAAGTTATCAAATGGTGAATACCTAGTGAAGGGCAAAAAAGTGACCTGTTTCACTGACAAAGAAGAAGACATGATAAAGCTGGTGGAAGCCATGCCATTTCTCCTGGAAACAAAGCTCAAAGAACATGGGGCAGAATTTGAAAGTGAAGAGGCATGGCAACCTTGTGTATCTGTTAGTGCTTGTGGCAGAGTAGCAACTGGGCAAAATCCTGCCTCTGCAACACCCTTAGCTGAAAAAATTGTGGAACTTCTAAAGTAGACCATTTTGGATTACTTTTTAGTAGTGTAGAATCAACTTATGAATTAAGTAGAAGTGGCATGGGACTTTCAGCTCTTGTAGACTTGGTAATTTGTAACTGTTGGCTTCACTGTTGTCAAGAAAGCACTAAGTACATACCATATTTTGAGCTTGAAGATGTCAGTTGAAAGTACTTTCAAGAAATAAAAGGTTCCAAACACACTCATTTGCTCAATGTCATGAGTTGCACTTTCATTATATGCATTTAAATCTTGTTATCCCATTGTGAGCTTCAAAAGTAAGCCAAAGCTAGTTTACAGTGTGTGCATCTCGAAGCAATGAGCCCCAAGTTTGTGACATTTTTCCAATCCTATTTCATCCTTCCTATCCCCTATTACCCCTCCTCACTTTTGGTTATCCTTATTAATTCTCTTTAATATTATCTCAAGGTTTTTTTGACCAGTACCGAAAATGCCCCTGAGAATTGAGGCAACACAATTTGCACTGTACTTTTTTGTCAAAAAAATAAATAAATAAATAAAATAGGGATTGAGTGCACAAGTGTGATATTCCCCTCATTGTAGAGGGGGTGGGGACTTTGAGGGATCTATTCTATGATGCTGACGACAAAACAGCCTCCTTTAATAACAAACAAAACATATCAATGTTATAAATTTGATATTGCCTAGGGTTTAGTTTAATTGAAGTTTTGAAAGAAAAGCTCTGGGTATGCCTCAGCTGGACCATTTTCAGTTTAAATCTGAATGTTATAATTGTAAAGAAACATTTACAAGTCACTCTGAATTTACATTACAAAGAATTTTGTGAGTCATCAGTCTCTCTGTCCATATTCAGCAGAGCGGTTGAGAGCGACTGAAGGTCTTTCAGCACAGATGTCACTTGTATCAAATTCATTTCTTCATCAGCTCCACCTTCTTTTACTCGGACATTCTGTCTTTCACTTTGTACTGCTGCAGTAGATGGAATTCCTGGTTCAGATTGAACAGATTTTGCAGCCTTGTTTTGTTTAACCTTTCCTTTACTGGTTTTTATGGGTTGTTTCTCGTGGAGAGGCACTCGCTCTCTGTTTTCTTTCTCTTCTTCCTCCCTTCCATCTGTGAAAGAGTACAAAAGCAAGGAACAGTACGTTCTAAGAGTGGCTGGCTTTCAATTTCTTGTTACAGTATCACCATTAAATCAAATGTGAGGATCATGAGAATTAAAAAAAAGATGATCACCAATTCATAAAACTCCTGATTGTCAACAAATTCTCCTTGTCAGTCCTAGAGGAAATTTAAAGAAAACAAAGTGGAGAATATGAAAACTGATGTTGGAGTGTATACTTTAGGGAAAACCTTCCTTTGGAAGGTGATTTTGTGTAATCATCACCTGTAAACTCCTTTGGTTTAAGTCTGGGAACCTTGAAACCCTCCTGTCGGACTGTAGCCATGAGCATATTTCTTTCCTTTTCCATGTGTCGCAGTTGTGCGCAGCATTTCTCCAGTTTCATTTCATATTCCTTCTGCTCAAGAGCCAGCTGCTCTGCTGCCTTTTCCTTCTCTCGTTCAACTTGTCGCTCTGCTTGTCTGAGTGCTACGACAGCTTTTGTGTGTTCACGCCGCACATCATTGAATTGCTTCTCCAGCTTTGCAAATTCCTCAGTGTATCTCACTTGCTCTGCTTGTAAAACTATTTCTAGAGCTAGAGAAAGGAAAAACTTTTTGTTACATCAAGAAGGTGTAAAAGCCATAAATCATTGATCAGTTCCATAGTCAAATAAATTCAACTTTTAAAGGGGGTAAGTCTCGAAAGAAACTATGGTGTTGCGTCGGTGGGAGTAACAGGGTAATTTTTGTTTTATCAACTGAGTTGATAATGTAAACTCAGTCTGGCCGCTGTAAAGGGTTTCATGGCTGATGTTTTGAGTGTAAAGCCCTTCGTTAGCCCTTCCATTCAGGGCTTGAAATTAACGGTAACCCGTTAACCAATGGTTAGTAATTTTGAACGTTTGGTTACTAAAGATTTGTCCAACATGGTTAGTAAAATTTTCTAACATATTTAAACATTGGTAGACCTCAGGACAAAGAGCACGTAGACCCAACTCTCAGAGGAATACTTAGAATACTCAAGTTGTTAATCAACTTTAACTCTTTTTAGAGAATGTGCTGTAGATGTACTGTTCTTGAGTAATCATGGTAAACGAGAGGGAAATAAAATAGGTGCATAATTTCAAAGTTTTTGAGGTCACCATGCAATTTCAGCAACTCTTTAATTTGTCCTAGTCGTTATTATCAAAATGTTCAATATTTGAGATATTGTAACTTGTGAGCTTGGATACCAAACTTTATAATTTGGTTAGTAAAAAAGATGTCTAGTAACCCGAAGGGTTAGCGATCCAAAAATTAAATTTGAGCCCTGCCATTCATTCTGACAAAGGGCTAAAGCTCAAAATGTCACCTTTGAAACTCTTCACGGGGGCCAATTTACATTAACTCAGTTGATAAAGCCTACATTCCACTTTTACATCTCTTTGGAAAACCTGAGAATATTTTACATGCGGAAGAGGTTACTTTCCAAAGATCTAATCCCCAGTGAAAAAAATAATAGTGTTCAGTCATGGCTGCCTTGAGTATATAGTGCACTTTGGTAAATACCTGAGTCAAGTGTTTTAACTGAACAGTACACTGTAAATGTTCTCTCTACCTTGTCAAAGTGTTAACACTTTACTTTTTATCTTTTAACACAAGCCTCTTAAATCCTGACTGTTTCCTCATGTGGGGCTTTTCTTGCTTCAAACATGATGAAGCATTTGGACAAGACAAGCTTTCTTTTTTAAGAGCGAAATTAATTCAACAAATCAACAGTCTTACTTTTCCGCACTCATACACACTATGAATAATTCTATTTTAAGCCAAAACTGCATAGATGATCATGGTTCGAACAAACAATGTTCCATCTAGGGAATACTCATTATGATAGTAATTCAACCTGTTCACTGCCAAGATCTCATTAGTAATTCTCCTTACTATCTGTCATACAATTCTTATGATGCAAGTTTAGAGAATTTGGTATTGGATCAACTAATAATCTCCTTATTGATGTATTTCTTTATTCTCATTACTTGTCTGCTTGATATTGTATTGATATTGTAAGGAGAAATTTTGTCTTGGTCACTTATGGCAAGAAAGGGTTTATACGCAGAGACATTATATTAATATCACTGACACTTACTTTTTTCAGCCACATCTTTGTGTTTTGCCATTTCTGTTTTAAGTGATTCTATTGTCTCCAATCTCTCTGACAATTCCACCTCAGCAGTTTGTAACTTGTCATTTAGAATGGCTCCTCGTTCCCGTTCATCCTTTAAGAATGACTCCAACTAAAGAAATGTAATATATTATAAGCCATTTAAATTCTACTTGTTCTGATGACTTCATAATACTAATTGCTAAGAAAATATTGTAGAGGACTTGTTTTCCTAATCTATATTGAGACAGATAGAGAGGCTGCAGGAAAAAAACAAAGGGTCACACTCTAAGGGAATGCTGGTCATTTCACCAACGTGTCAGTTTGCCAACAAATAGTTCGCCAACGTATGAGGTTGATTTGCCAATTTGTCTACTGTCAGTTTTCCAATGTTTATATGTCAGTTCGCCAACATCTAAAATAATTGTAATTACGAATGATCAGAGGAATAAAATTTTACTTTTGATGTATTCACAGGTGTTCATAGGTTAGTAACTAAGGCTATTTCTCATTTGACTCTGTCAAAGAATACATAGTCCAAGCTAACACACCATAAATAATTAAACTTGAAGTTTGCAGTGGTTAGTCTGACAATTTTGCCAGACACTTCCTCAGAGGGTTCTCGGCAGAACAAGATTATTACCTGTGATATTTTCACAGCAGAGTCCTTCAGTTGCTGCTCACACTGAGCTCTGATCACTACCTCTTTTCTCTCCAAAGTCTCTGAATCCTTCCTGGCCTGAGCTAAAAGATGGTCCCTTTCTTTAGTTAGCTGTTTGACCTCGGATACCAACTGTTCACACGACAGACTTGCCTCATGTTGTTCTGTGATCCCCCCTAGAAAATTAAGGGTGCATCAGGAGAGACAGTAAAAAAATATATATATATAGTGCCTACGATAAAAAAGATTTATGCAAAAACCTTTGGAAGACTTTATGAATGCGTTCTTTTTGTACATACCGTCAGATATTGATAACCCAGTTTCCGCAGCTTTAGTAACTGCTTCTGAAAGTTCACTTCTCAACTGTGCCTCACGGTGTGTTATAAGCCCTGTATTCAGAAACAGTCATGACATTAACCAACTTGTAACAAAATGTGTTCCAAATAATAAACATAATTGAAGAATATAAGGAGGGCTACTGTTTTATTTGGATTATCTACAAATTTCTTTCTTGCAATCATACATCTTTGATGCATCTTCTTGAGATGTTGATGCAAAGAGATGTTGCATACTTTCCATTATTTTTCCTGTCCCTTAACTCTTAATTCTCCATAAACATCCCTTCTAGAGAAACATTTCTCCAAAATTATTGAAAGGCTGTGACAAGAAACTAAAAAATAATATTCCTAAATGTATCTATTCGGCATTTAATTATTTTAATACAAATGTGCGTATCACCTTGAAGAAATTGAACTCTTCCAGACGCAAAGCTAATACGCTGCGAAAATGTGGCAAGTTTTTTGAAGGCCTCCTCCATTTGCATCCCAACATGTTCTATAAAAGATTCTGTCTTTTGTGCAACTTCCTGCAGACTGCAGGAACACATTTGAAATTGTGAAATGAAAGAACTGAGCGTTTTCTCATTTTTCTGACACTTCTCAAGTTGCCTTTCTAGAGCAAGGTTTCTATTGACTTCAATTTGCTGTTCAGCCTTCTTGTCAGCTAAAATATGTGTCAACTTGGCTACTTCCTTCTGGGATTCTTCCAACTCTGTCATCAGATGTTTCAGCTTAAGATGAAAGACAAGTCAGAGTATAAATATTGGCAGTGTGAAGCTCTCTTCTTGTTTGTCATTTGACCAAGAAGAAGGACTCTAAGAGAAACAAACCCTCTCTACTGTTAGGTCAGTTTTTGTGTTGGTTTTCTTCATTCACTTTCATAAAACTGAACTTTTCTTAAGGCCAACTTTCTTTTAAAAGAGAACTCTTGGGGAATGCCGGAAGCAGTCATTTTAGAGAAAGATTACTCCAATTAAAAAACTTATTGCAAAACAAAAAGTAGAAGACTTTGTTACTTCCTATTTTTAGTCTTAATTCACCAATACACAACATACAAGTACTACATTTATTTTTCTCTCCTCTTCTCCTACTAAGGAAAGTTACCTGAGTCTTCTCATTTCTTTCCTCTTTTTCATGCAAAACCTCTTGTGATTTTAATTGAATCAGCAAGGCAAACACCTTTTCTCTCCATTTTGTAAGCAAACCATTTCCATCATGCCCTGTACCACCATTTGATTTCCCTTGAAACTTCATCAATTCTTTTTCTTGAATGGAGAGGATTTCATTGATGGATGAAAGTCTCACATTAAGGAGTTCCACAGTGGATCTTAAATTTTCATTTTCTTGTATCAAGCTGGTCATAGCTTGTTTTGCCTCTTCAAGTTCTGTTTGGAGTTTCTCCAGCTGTGTGTTTGGCAGGTTCTCTCCAATATAAGCTCTTAACTGATCAACAATCAAACTTTGCGACTTCACTTCCTCATCTTTCTTTTTAAGCTTCTCTGTAAGCAGGCAGAATGTTTAAAATTCATGGAAAAAAATGAGCATAGGGACTACATTGACCCTTTCACTTCTAAGATCTCATGAGAAATTCACCTTACTGTCTACTATACAATTCCTATGATGTTAGCATAGAGAATTTGGTATTGGATCAAATACTAATCCCTGATTGATATTTTTCTTTATTCTTATTTCTTTATTGCTTGATATTGTATTAATATTTTGAGGAGAAATTCTATCTTGATCACTCTTGGGCGTGGGAGAGTAAAAATGTACCACTGACTACACTTGCTAAACAAACACTGCTGCTTATTGTCAAGTAATCACAATAAGTGTATAAATGTTGCAATAATTTTCCATACTTAGTTACAATCCCATTCACACCATTGTAAGGTCATATTCCTCATCCTTAGTCACTCCAACCCCTTACACTAAAACATTGGTATGCATATTCTCCATACTGTTCTCTACACATTTCCTTAAGTGGCAAGGAGGAGAATTTCCTTAGCAAGCAGGAGCTTCTTTAGTTGGTGAGCATTTCTTTTATTCTTGTAACCTTACTGTATGATTCAGGGGCGATGTTGTAAGGGAAAATGGAAAATTTGTCAACAGGGTTTGTACCCTTTTTCAGGGACAAATTTCAAAAAATTTTCTAGGATTTTGAATGATTTTCCAGGGCTCCAAATTTTACCTTAGACCCTTTCATTCCCTAGATTTCAAAATCAATTACATGAGGATTGGGTTGGCATTTCTTTTTGAGAGGCATGGTATATGTATGGTGAAGTTTTGAATCCTACTGATCAGTGTTTTATTTACCTGTAAAATTCAGTAGTTCTCTTTGATGAAAAACTGTTTGTTCCTCCAATTTCCTGCTAAGGTCTGTCAGTGTTTGATCATAGTGTAATTGGCTATCCCTCATCTTTCCTTGATGCTCTTTTAAAACTGTTGAACACTCCATTTCTTTTTCTTTTAGTTTTTCCTTTAGATCATTTACCTCTTCATCTGTAGCAATCTGCTTCATTTTTGCGGCAGAGTAAATCTCACGGCTTCTGGAGATCTCATCTTTGAGAGAATGTAACTCTTTGGCATACTTTGCCTCAGAGGTTTCTAAAGTTTTTTGAAGTGCCTTAACTTGCTCATACTTGTCAAATTCATTTTTACTTATCACATCCTCAAACCCTTTCCTGTCAATCTTCACTTGTTCTTCTGAATTTTTCACTTGAGCTTTCAAACTTTTCACCACTGCCATCTGCTTTCTAGCGCGTTTCTCCAAACTCTCCACTTCCCTCTCGAATATTTCTTCCTTTTGCCTTATTTCAGCTTTTAGCTCTTTTATCAACGTTTGCGCCTTCTCTAGCTCGGCTTCACATCTTCCTAAGTCTGTTTCGAAGTTAATTTTAACCTCTTTAACGTCTATTTTTAGTTTCGAGTTTGTAGCTCGAAGCTTTTTAACTTCCGATTGCAGCGAGAGATTTTCCTCTTGAAGTTCAGCCATTTTTTTCAGATCAAGGGCATCATCGACTCTACCCTTTTGTACCAAAAGCCTGCTCTTTCGCATCTCGCCTTCAAGTCGTATTTCCTCCTCTTTAGACCTCTGAAGCTGCTCTCGAAGCTGTTTATTTTCATTCTGCAATCTGTTTATTTCAACGACGACTTTGTCAGTTTCTTCGCTCTGATCTTTAACAACATCATATTCAGATGGAGGAAGAAGCTTCCAAGGAGCTGAAGTGCTTTGTTGTGAGGGGATCTTGGGTCGTGTAACTTGAAAATATGCAGGAGAAAGAAACCTATCTGTCGCATTTTTGCTTTTACCCGCCATTTTCTGGTGCTAAACACGAAATCAACCAGGCGCAGTCCCATAAGGCTTTGTAAGCTGTGAATTTCACAACATTTTCACGTGGAGTCAACTTACTGACGAAAACACCATGGGAAAACAGAAGAAAAAGGTACATTTTAACTATTCTTTTGGTTTGTTTGCTTTGTTTTTGCAATATAATGTAAATAAAGTTTATCTTTAATTTCTTTTCAGGGAGAAAGTGGGGCAGCAACAAATTATATTTCAAGAAATCAAGCTCTGAAGAAACTACAGCTCAGTTTGCCAGATTTCAGGTAAAATTTCAGGCTGTTATTCGTCATATTCACTTCAGTGCCCTTCTACGCAATAAATAATTTTTTTGTTAAATTTTATTTTGTTTTACTTTCAGGCGACTTTGTATTTTGAAGGGTGTTTACCCAGTTGAGCCAAAGAACAAGAAGAAGGTGAACAAAGGAAGCACAGCAAACAAGACTTATTACTATATCAAAGACATTCAGTACCTTGCACATGAACCAATTCTTAACAAGTTCAGAGAGTTTAAGGTATTTCTTAGAAAGCTCAAGAAGGCCATTGCTAAGGAGGAACCAGGTACTGCTCAAAGATTAGTAGAAAACAAACCAATTTACAGACTTGATCACATCCTTAAGGAAAGGTTAGTATTTCTGTGTGAATTGTTACAAGGCTAAGAAATAATGTTTACTTATTACACGACTCGGGCTGTCAGAGGGCCAATAACTAAAATCAACCAATCAAAATGCTCCATTGCCGGTCCAATATTCTCTAAGTATTGGACTGGGTACTGTCCCGAATGGTCCTGAATGATACCGCACTTGTGTCCCTTTGAACTTCAGTTGTATAATAAGTCTCTTATCAACCAAGCTTTCTCGGGACCGTACTGGAAGAATATTGGCCCTCTGTCTTTTTTGTATGGACCTCGCTGCGCTCGTTCCATACTGTCAAGAACTCGGGGCGATATTCTCCCAGTACGGCCCTCGCGCTTGGTTAATAAGATATATTTATTGACTGAGTGGGAGGGCTGGACAGGAAAATATTTGGCTTGAGGTCCTGATGTATGCACCGAGCACAGGGAGTTCCGTGCCTCATGACAGAGGGCCAAATATTTTCCTGTCCATCCTGACCAAACTCAATCAGTAAACGTTTCATCATAGGAACACTAAATGTTGAAAATTTCAACCTAAATAGAACAGGATAGATGGGCACACACAACCAGACAAGCACAAAAGAATAATGCAATTAAAAATTTTCCTTTTTTTTTTGAGTCATAACAAGGTATTCCCAATTCCTTGAAAAATGTAACTTTTTTTTCCTCGTTTCTGTTTTCCTGTAAGTTTTTACAACAAAGTGATGTGTGAGTTGCGGGGCTGGACAGCCTTTTCTAGATGGGCTCCTGACATCCTGTCTGGCCCTGCACACGTCAGCTTTCAAAATGGTTTTCTATTGGATTGTGCTCGTGGGGCTGGACAGGTCATAATTATGATAATTGAAATTATTTGTAATCAGCATTTTCTTGAATGGATTGAACTCAGGAATGATATGACAATCAATGTAAGGTTAGATTATGTATTTTGATTTTTAGGTTGAGGATAGCCCTGAGGAGTTCTGTTGTCAGCAGTGGTGACTGACATTTTGAAAACCACCACCAACAACAATCCTTCTCGGGAATATCCTTATGATGAGGATCAGAAAACATTGCCATTTATCATCCATGGATTCAAACCATTTACTTAATGTTACTTTAGTCTTGACAAGCACAGTTTTCAGCAATAGTAACATATCTTGACAATTTATCTGACCATAAGTAATCATTAGTCTTGATTCTGATCTAGTCACATTGTCAATGGAAAAGGTTTCTCGTTGTCACTGAAAATTGTCCTTCCGATAATAGCCTTACATACATTATTTCTGGTTATCATCGAATAAGTGCAAAAATATTGTGGATAGTACCGAAAATTATGTCAAAATCTGTAAGCTACCTTTATATTTAATTCCTTTTATTGTTCCTAAGGAAATGGTGGTCACAGGTTTTTTTTTATCCAGCCAACAAGCTATGAATTCTGCTCTCATCTGATTTGTCCAATATATTTATCATGTATAACTTCATTTCTTCCAAATATTTTCAGGTATCCAACTTTCATTGATGCAGTGAGAGACCTTGATGATGCTTTATCCATGGTGTTATTATTTTCAACAATGCCACAGACTGATAAAATAGAGGTAATGATAATTGCTTTTGTAGTGGTTCTTGCACTATTTTCTTCTGTGAAAAAAATTAAATTTGTCAGATAGATTTACTTTTGGTATTAATCTTTAGGTTTCATTTTCTTTATTTACAGGCTGGTGTTGTAAAACAATGCAAAAGATTATCTGGTGATTGACTATTTTAATTTTTGTTTTTGAACATATAATGTTCTCACTGACTTATTATGACAGATGAATTGTGGTGTGTTGACTTTCAAGTTTGAAAATTCCTGACTTTTGTTCAATTTTCAAAAAGTACAGACACCCTTCAAACAAGAAATTCATCACTGATGGAAAGTGATGTATAAGCAATAGTAGATTCCACTCGTGTCTTAAGGCAGATACTTATAGATTTCATCAAACTAAACCCTGTATCTTTGACTGATTAATGGTCTGTCATTTTTTAGCCTATGATTGTAACTTCCATTCTTATGATAGAACTTATACTGTAAAGAACCAGCTCATGTGATTGCAGTATTAGATCCATTTAATTTCCATGCAGTATGCACAAATTATACAGCCTTTTGATTCACTTTACAGATGCTGTCCATGCTTGAATTTTACATGCAGTGACTACATGTAAAGTTATGTGCTGTCGCTTAACTGTTTGTATCTAATGTATTATAATTTAGGCTGTTTAAATTTCAATATAGCCAGAGTGAGTACCCTCACTTTCATGATTACATTGTGTAATAGCTACTCTGTCTTGCTGAAAAAAAAAAGACTGAATGGATGGGCTGCCTGTAGTTGTTAAAACAAAACCCAGTTAAAATTAAAGTAGTACACCACTTTCATAAATGGCTTGCGGATTGATATTCTTTTGTTTAAATTAAAATTAGCCTCACTAGCCTCGGTTGAGATAATGTATTCTTTTGAATTTTGAACTGGAGAACGAGGCCAGAAAGGCTAATTTAAATTTAAACAAAAGAATATCAATCCGGCAGCCATTTATGAAAGTGGTCAGTTTCTTTACATTTTCTTGCTTACTTTTTTATGAACCACATTGTAATTCGGATACTTCTCTGTTTGTTGCAGTTGAATTTCAGCATTACATCATTGCTTCAAAGTCACTGAGGAAGGTATATTCATAAATTGTTGAACTTTTTTTCTTGTCATCATGTTGTCCTTTGATCTTCTGCAGTTTTATTCCTGGCTGAAGATTGTTATTTCCTTGAAAGGTATTCCTGTCAATAAAAGGAGTGTATTTTCAAGCTGAAATCCAAGACCAACCAGTGACATGGATTGTTCCTTACCAGTTTTGTCAAGAGGTAACAATGAAAGCACTCTTCAGTGTCACTGTTTTGTGCTGCAACTTTTATTTTACATTCAGGTATCTTAGTGCAGAATAATTCTTATCAGATACATTTTAATCAGTTAAATAGACACTAGTTGACAGTGCTAAGGCTGTCACCTAAAGTGGGGATTTCTTACAGCTTCTTAGGTACAGTTTTTATGTTTGCTCGTTTTTTACAGCCACCATCAGATGTTGACTTCAGGGTGATGTTGACTTTTGTCGAGTTCTACTCAACTATGATAGGATTTGTGAATTTCAAATTGTACAACATGTTGAACTTACACTACCCTCCCAAGGTGAGCA